AGTCATTATAGGTCGAACTATTTTCGACCTGACTCACCCATTTAATGACTCTAGATATAGGCAACTCACAAGGAATCATTCCTTTGTAGTTGGGCTCAAGTGGACAGAGTGGAAATCGAATATGAAACTGCTAGGACCTCTAAGGGTGTTAGATTTACTATGCCCACTTTCTCTAAACCGAGAGAATCCAAATCCTTTATAATAGAACATCAATAACTTGACGAAGTGTCAATTTTTTTCAAAATACCTAAATTGACAACTCAAATTAGCACAAGCCACAAGTGCATTGTCAAATATTTGCCAGGCGCATCGATTGCCTTCGAATAGTACCCAAAATGGATATGGTCCTTTAGCGTGCAGTCACCAAGTCACCGGGCTATTTAGTGCTATCAATATAGCCACTATACTACATAGCTTCATGAATGATACTCCAGTCTTTAAAACCACGATAATAATTACCTAAAACGAATCTATTTGACTAAATCATTCATACATCATTCGAATCCACTTCAAACTCCTAAAAAAAGTATCAAACATCTCATTGATTTCTGACGTTGCAATTAGTTACGTCTACCATATTTTGTGTATAAAAGAACTTACGCAATAGAACCTTTCCTACACCGAGTTAGGCCAATGGAATGCATGCTCCCAAACACCCTATCCGCCCAAGATTCTTTTCCACTAGTGGCTTGGGAGATTTTCTTTGGACCTTGGACCAAATGGATAGGGTCTATCGCTGCCATTGATTTTGTGGTCTTGTCTGGATCCAAAATGCGGGACTTACCGATCAACAACTAAAACAAAGTGCCCGAGATCTCATATTAAGTTTTTTTCTCAGTTGCTCCTATGTAGCAGTAGCACCAGCCGCTATCAGAGCCACTAGAAACACAAGGCTGAGCAGATGCTATGTCCCACAACAAACAAAACAAATGACGAAAGACTTACTTTCCTGGGCCACACAGTTTGCACCCACCAAATGTACTTACTTGGCTTTCTCTTCTCCTGGGAAGTGGGAGCCACCGCCTGATGTCAATAGGACCTTTCTTTGGTGGAGCCGTTCAGTCCTTTACTTTTTTCCTTCCTATTCAACAAAGTGACAGGTCGAGATAGAGAGAAAGGAAAGGAAAGGGGCATTTTGCGTAGTATGAAATGGTGGCTCTCGTGGACTACCTTATTACCTTCCTTTCCATCAAGGGAAAAAGAAGCAGGATACAATTTGAGCCATCTTTACAGACGTTGGTTTTGTGTGTGGCTCTCTTTTCTTATCCCTACACAACAACTCCTCTTGCTCCCCCCCATAAGCCCTCTCTCTATATACCATGCATATATCCTCTGCTTCGTTTCTACTAGTATCTTCGCAATTCACAGGATTGAAAGAGAATGTCAAATCACGAGAATGGACTACTTGAGGACCCGTTCTCGATGGAGTTCAAGCTCCCGGACTTGCTGCTCAACGACGCGGTCCGGGGACTGCATTTGAGGATTGAAAAGGAATGGGACTCCCTTCAGCAGTCGGCGTGCCAAACGGCTGCAGGAAGAGCCCTGTGGAAGCACGTCATTAATGATCCTTTCGCAGATGTGCTTGCTGGAGAGACGTATCTGAGGAGTCTCCATGAGAAGATAAAGAAAGACTGCACAAACAATGCCCGTGAAATTTCCGGAGTGATCCTTGCGGTCCGGACATTATGGTTTGATTCAAAACTCGAAGCTGTCATCAATTCTTTTGATGGTGGAGCAGCGCAGGTGGTGTTCCTCGGTGCAGGTTGGTAGAGCACTCTATTCTTCGAATTCCAATTTCCAATGTAGTACTTTCTCATCCGCACCAAATTCCCCCTAAGCACACGAGATTTATGATAAACTCAGAATTCTGTTTCTAAAGAGGGTCGAACAATGTTAGTTACAGAGTAATAGCCCTAGGCTGCAAGCATAGACCACATCACTTGTCACCCTGGACTGATGAATCCTTCTTTAACATTGTAAGTAGTATGCTTCCGTAGCAAACATTCTAGTCACACAAACAATGAGCTGTGACCTACTTGCCAGGAACCAATGAAATAATTTATCGAGTACTCACGGCAAGGTGAGAATGCCTATGACTGCCGTGAATGGGTGACATATGCCTAACCCTGGCAATAGGAACCCCCATATACAAGAGAATTAACTCAACACAAAGCATTCATGCATAAAGCTTCCACCTATTACGAATATAGGTGGTTTCGCGTTAATTGGAGATGGAATTTTTATTAACTAACAGTTAGTGCAAATTATTTATACAGGAATGGATGCAAGGGCGTACCGTCTAAGCTGCTTGAGCAAAAGTGATGTCTTTGAGGTTGATTTTCCAGATGTCCTGCAGGTGAAGGCTGCTCTAATAAAGGCAGCACTAGAAACCCCAGAAGATCATTGTGAATTAAAGGTGATAGCAAAATCCTTGACCAGAGTAGCAGCTGACATCAGGGATGATGTCTGGCTCGAAAAGCTTCAGGACTCGGGGTACATGCCAGAGAGGAACACAGTGTGGGTCTTGGAAGGATTACTCTATTATCTCCCCCAATCACATGCCATGCAAGTACTGAAGATGATCGCAGACAAATGCAACCATACAAAGATGGTCCTCTTAGCAGATTTTATGAACAAACCGTCCACCACACTCTCCAGTTCCACCTTCCAGTTTTACAGCGACTGGCCAGACCATCTACTACCATCTCTTGGGTTTTCCGATGTCAAGCTTTCGCAGATTGGTGATCCAGATGCGAACTTCGGGCTGATGCATGATCCCTTAAACCTGTTCAACAAGCTTCGCAGTTTGCCTCGGTCAGTACATATCCACCCTGAAGATGGAACACCATGTCGTCGCTTGTACTTGGTGCAGGCTTTCGGTTCACCCAACTGAAGATTATCTTTAGTGATAGACTTGGGGTACATACATTATAGGCAATGACTCCAAAGTATAGACATTATTTGCAGCTTTCAGTAGGAATGCAAAACCTGATTGAACTGCAACCATGAGATCTGTTTCTGGGCTACATGATTCATCGCCATAAAAATACAACCAAATTGCAATTAGAAATCGCTAACTTGTCATGTAGAGACACAATTTAGAGCGTAAACCTATACAGGCAGGGATGCTTTTTTCTGCTTCTCTAAAATTTTAACATCATCGAGAAACTTCGATTAGAGGGAAGTCATTTGCTACGGACCAAAAGGGCATTAACTTTCTTCAACTAGATGCAGCAATATTCAAGGCAAACAGAAAAGCAAATGAGTGACTTCATTGTAGAGTAGGAGGCAAACATTGAATAAATACCACCTAAAGAAAATTCCCAATGAAATGAAGCAATCTAGCTTGCTAACAGTCCTAATAGTTTGCTGATGCCAACTTGAGATTAAAATTAATGTCTCAATAACAAAAATCTTGCCTTTTTTATGCCATCCTTCAGTAATCATAGACATCAAGGAGATGACTTAGTATGACCAAGAAGCAAACAGCACATCTAGTATATCTTGCATTATTTCAATATGTCTGCGCAAGGAAAGAAACAAATTCAAGACAAATCCATATGCCTTAAGTTAATGCATTTACAGTAAGATTCATCAGTTCCATGGAATGAATCAGACTTATTCCTTATGATTCACAATGTTAACAAACTAGTTATACTGAAATGGAAAGGGGCAATTCATCCAACTCAGACAATAAGTACTGATATCTATTTTACCAAGAAAACAACAGAACCACTGTCTAAAGTCATCAATAAAGTGCTGTGTATCTCTAAGGCGGAATATCTCACTGAATGACTTCAAATAAAGTGTTACCACAAAGGGTTAAAAGGGGAGCTTAAAAAAGGTCTGGCAAAAATGCATCAGCTATTGCCTCTGATTCTTCTAGGGGTGAGCATGGTCCAGATGGGTGCTTCCACCCTTCAACCAAGAACCACCCACTAAGGACCGGTTCCGAAAAATTAGAACCGACAACCGCCTGTTAGTTCCATAGATCCACCTGGGAACCGGACCACCGGACCGTCGGTCCGGTCCGTTTCCCGGGTGGGTCCATGGAACCAGTCCCACCAAGCTTCACACGTCAACACTCTAATATGCAACAAAGAATTACATAACAGAAAGAACTAATTCTGGAATAATTTAAATTACAGAACATCGAAGACTTTCTCAGCTAGAGCCAATGAACCAACAATATTAGTATGTTAGGAAGCATGCAAGCAAGAGAGCACACTCACCAAACTTGTCCCAAGAAGTTGCTCCAAAACTGAGACTAAAAAACACAAATCTATTAGAATTCGCATCCAACAATCGCCCTAGCCTTTAATATCACTTACAGCATACTGCGTCAACAATACTTCTTCACCCAGCTCTTAGCATTCCAATTAGAGTTCTCATAATAGACACAACAAGCAACAGAAACAGAATGACGCCACGAAAAGCAGCTTAGAGAACGCAAGAAAGAGATGCAGCCCCCTATGCAACGCATACCATAGATCCCCCACCCCGCCATACACGAATTCGATTGACCATGCCAGGAATTCAAACTCCGGCGTAACGACAACTGTTGCAAACCGGGGTGAGAGTGAGATAGTGAGAGTCTGAGATGAGGGAGAACAGAGATCAAGATGAGACTGAGAAAGTGAGAGTTTCGCATTAGGGATTTAGGATTTTTTATTTTTTTAATAAATATAATATACATTACCGGTCCGGTCCGGTCCGGGTGGGTGGTTCCACACTTGGAACCAGGAACCGGACCGGTTCAACAAATAGGAACCACCGGTTCTGGGCCGGTCCGGTTCTTTTGCACACCCTAGATTTTTCAGTCATTTTACACATTTTTAACTAGACAGAGCAATACATAATTAACTCACTGGTCCAAGCAACAAAAGGAACAAGCATTACAATGTGGGCAAAATCACATGTTGTACCATGAAATATCTTTCCCCTGGCCCAGTGGTGTAATGAGGCACAAGCAGAAAACTCATAGTCATCTCTCAATAAAGTGGCAGACTATGCAAGTAGGCTGTTTCTTTTCATGTCGTTGTTACAATATTCTTAAGAATGGGAAACATGTGGGATGCTAAGTAAGAAATTGAGAGGGATCTTCCGATACCAAGGTATGGTTTGTCATACCAAAAGGAGTTACATGCTTTTACTCTCCATGCAAATAACAATGAAAATCACCGAGGACCATCTTCTAGATTTCCACAATCTTCCGTGTTGCAATTGGATTTATAAGCTAAATCTGAAAGCTTCAAGTGAGATCTTAATGCTGAATAGAACCGAAGCTCATATTTCAAGGCAATCCTTGATGCCCTGCTTGAATTTGTCCAGAGAAGATATGGTATTTGTGAGTGCATCAGCAACTCTCTCTCTGCAGCAAAAGGGATCAATAAACAATAAAAATTGCTTATGCAGTGAATTTGAAGATCTTCAGTTAACATAAGCATTCTGCAGAGTTGTTTAAAATATACTGAATTTAAATAGACTAGAAATGCCTGGAGTAGACTTGTGAGCAGAAATCCAAGGGCAAAGGCAACAACTGCCTCTGTGTGCGTGTGTGTGCACATGCGCTTGCGCGTGCGTGTGTAGCATGTCATGTATAATTACGAAAAGCTGCAAAATATAAAACTTATTCAGATTTTCAGAACTAACAAACTTAAATTTCATACTGCCAGCATTTAGAGTCACTGGAGAGAGAGACATACCTATAGGTCATGTCTTGAAGATCACTCACGCTTGTGAGACCATTCAGAGAAGAGAAAGATCTACAAAAGGTAAAAAGATGACAGAAAAAGGTAAAATGAGCCAAAGTACCAAATCATGAAAAAGAACCACAATACAATCGCCAAATTAGGATCTCTCTATTCTATGGATCACTTCAAACATTAGAAAGACAGAGAACCGCTCCTAAACATGTGCAGATCTTCTATTAGGTGGAGGCAGATGCTCTCCTTCCCACATCCCCTAGAGTTTTGGCGTATGATTAGTTTGGTTCGTCTATAAAAGTATGACATCTTGTGCTCTGAATCTTCTTTCTGTCTTCAGCAACTGCACGGGCTAAGGAGCCATCTATATGTAAAAACTAAATTTCGTATCCATAGGACTCCATATACCTCGTACTAGAGATCAAAAAGCCAAAACTTCTGTCGATTTCACAATACTTGTTATTTGTGTTGCTAGTAGTGAAGTTAGCTCATCCAATAATCTTTGGACATATCTCCACCTGAAGAGTTCTGTGCGGATGTCTAAGTTATAGCTTAGAGGTAGAGGGTTCTTGAGAAGAGAAATGCGAAAGATACTATAACTTCTGCAAAAATGGTACCTACTAAGTGACATGCCAAAGACTTTTCATTTTTGGTAAGTAATTACTTTTTTTTTTTGGGTAAGGGTAAGTAATTACTTTCTATTTATTGGTAAAAAAATAAACGGTCAATCTGCTGCAAACCCAACAATTACAACTCAAATACTGGTAATACCAACAAACTTGTATGTCTGAAGGTCTACAAAGACTACAGTGCAAATAAGCCACTACCTTTCTACACAGATTAGGAACTCTAAAGAGACAAGGCATTATGTCAAAAAGAACATTATAAACCACCTGATCCACCTGAAAACTGCTGCTGATGATGCAAAATAGAGTTCCTGGACCTCCAAATGTGATACATCAAAGATACTATGGGTGCCTAACCAAACCATTCCAACCACATCTTCCATGAATCTCATGTATTGGGTAATAAAACATAGAATAAAAAAAACTGATGTCTCACCACGTCAATCAGTAATTGTCTTGACAGTTCACAGAGATTAGTAATGAAGCATACCAAGATTGGTTGGACCACAAACAGCATAACCAGTGACCCACCACGTCATAACCATTTTGTTTCTTATTTTATCAGCAGCCAGAGTAAATGTATCAATTTTTGCAGTCATTTGGAGCATCAAAATCTAGAGAGAGTATCTTCCTGGTCTCTTGGAGCTTTTAATCTTCCAAGAAGATAGTCACATGCAACAAAAGCTATAAGATTTTCACCTTTCAAAAAAGATATGTTTCTAAGATAGACTACAGAAAACCAACTAATTAAAAACTGTTTCCGTTTACTCTAATGCCTGTCTCTCCGATAAATGTTGTCCCATATGGTGCACAAGCACAACTTTTCATGACAATCAAGTGTGGGGAATCTGAATTCGCTTGTAACATAAGTCATCCAGTTGAGAATGATAGATGGAAGAACTAAAACTTGATCATCACATTCTTTTAGTTTCCTACTATTGGTCTAGTATTTTCATACTCACTGAAAAAGGAGCCACCACCAAACCTGAAAAAGATAAGCTACCTAATAAGATCATCGAGCATAGCTTCAGCTTCTAACTTTACAGGGTCCTTGTCGGCAAGCAAAGAAGCTGCATTCTTCACAATCAACTTGAATGTGCAGACCTGTTCAACGCATCGATTAAGCTCGCTATTTCGATGAATTGGAAGCAAAATGAACGACTCAAAGTCGTCATAGCACCTACCACAGTTATCCATCAATTACTTAGGACCAACAGCCAAAATCTACAACAGAACAGCAGGATAAACAGGCTACAGGACAAACCTCTACTCCTGTATTGGCTTGAAACGCGACGAACGAATTCCGGTCCTCTGCCACGCAGTCCCTAGCAGCTGACCTAAACAACCTCTGAACTTCCTCCAAATCATCACTCGCACTCTCAGAAGCCTTGGCTACAACAGATTTTCCGACTCGAGTCAACAGAAAACCAACCTTCTTAAAGCAACAGAAACACAAATCAACGACCAAACCGAACTGAGAATGAGGTAAGCCGCGCGCAGGCTCTCTCGGGAGGCATCGATCGGAGCCAAGAGGAACTTGGAGGACTTCTTCTTCTGCTCCTTCAGCCACTCCTTAGGTCCTGCTGAATTCCCGCGTCTCCCGAGAATTATGGACGCATAATTTGAAATTTCAAGCATCAACAACCAGCAAAGAGCTCCGGTCAGTTCGAATCGCGAGAGAGAAGGGCGTACAGATTCCGATGGAGAATGCGGCCGCCGGTTCAGGCCGAGCGAGGGAGGGCAGGAGAGAGAGGAGCGAGAGCAGAGCGGCGTCTCTGCGAGCAATGCCGTGCTGGAGGCGAAGGCGCGCGCGGCGCTCGTCGTCTCGAGGCGCGAGGATTTGCGGCATCTGGTTCGGTGGTTTTGCAGGGAAGAGGGTGAGTGGAGGAGCGGCTGGAGCGGTGGCAATGGCGGAGGTGAGGCGGTGCAGAGACGGCGTCATGGTGGTTGGCGATTTTTTTTTTTTTTTTTTTTTTTTGGTTTCCGGAAAGTGAAGCTCTCCGGTCGGTGGGAGCGAGGTAGTTGATGAGCCGGGAGGGAGACACGTGGCGACAGTGCTGACTTGGCACGATAGCATCGGGTGCAGCTAGAGCTGGGAGAACTGCCCGCATTGCCAAAATGCTAAGATAAATAGTCCGTTCAGCTTCTTTGAAGAGAGACCGCTTTCGAAAATATTTTTTCCGGATTTTTCGGCGTTTGGACGATATAAATTATTTGGTAGATTAAAAATAACAATTTCAGATTGAAAAAAAAAATAACTTCCTTTCTTGGTAAAAAAAATCATTTTTCGTGATTTCTTGTTTTGTATCTTATTAATTCTCTATCTTTTCATCAATTTTTTTTCTCGAGAAGTCTCCTTTGTCTTCTCCTCAAATCATGCCTATTATTTTCTGAATATACTACATTAGTGCCGATATTCTAATGCATTCCCAAAAAACACAATCAATAAAAAATGCTTTGTGAATACGATTCTATAATTTCTTCGTGGTTCTTATTGTTTTGATGTACTACATAATAAATATAGAGAAGATATTGATTCCAGTTAGTTATATCGCATGTATCATTTTTAAAGATATAAGCTGCTTTTTATCAATTATCGTGAAACCAAAATTTTCAACTTTTTTTAACACAAAATAAACTCCAGAAAATGGTATACTTCCGCTAAAATTGAATATTCTGAAAACATCCATGCCTTCTCTACTTTTTGACGTTGGATCGAAAAGTAAAAAATCACAACCGTCCATATTGAGATATGTTCAACGATTGAGTTTTTTTTTTTTGTGTATTTCAATTCAATAGTAAAAAATTATAAGGACACAATATCTCATGAAGGATCGTAGAATCATCCGTCAACTCCAACATAAAAATAATCATGCAAAGCACGTACCAAAAAAGAGTGGGGCCCACACTAGGTCTACTAAAAAACATAGCCATATATTACCTCGATGGAGGAAACTCCACATACATAATATGGATTATATATAAACATCACTAATATTTTTTTATTTTACTTATAACCCCCAATGAGAGGCAAGATTTGAGAAAACCATGGATATAGAAAAATACGGCTCACGGTTCATAAACAATTCATGCACTGTGATGAGTTCTACCAACTATAAAATCTATCTGCCAATATCTTCTCTGGTTACCTAGGTAGCGAATGATAACCATTCTGTTCCGGAATGAGTTCCTGAAACAGAAATATATTTTTCTATTTCTGGTTCCAGGATGAGTTTCTGAGAAAAGAAACCCGTTTGATAACGACCAAAAATTTCTATTTCTAGAACAGAAATCCGTTTGATAACATCACAAAATTTCTATTTCCTGAAACAAAAGCCCGTTTGATAAACAACACAAAATTCTATTTCTAGGAACAAAAATCCATTTTTTAAGAAATGGAATAAAAATAATTAAAAAATTAGAAAAATTCCTAAAAATCTCAAAAAAATTTCAGAAAAGCCCAAAAAATTGAAAAATTCCAGAAAAATTCATCAAAATGTCGAGAAAATAAAAAAAAATTCAGATTTCGGGAAAATAGGAAATTTGTTAAATTTTTTCCAAAAAAAATAAAAAAATTTCAAAACTTCACAGAATTGCTTAGAATACCTGTGGCCACCCACTTTTTGCGTAAATTTTAATTTTTTTGAGATGCCCAAAAAAAATTAAAAAAAATTAAAAATTTCAAAATTTCACAGAATGGCTTAGAATATCTGTAGCCAACCATTTCGAGAGAAATTTAATTTTTTTGAGATTCCAAAAAAAAATCAGAAATTTCAAAACTTCGTATAATGGCTTAGAATACTTGTGGCCACCCACTTTGAGCGAAATTTAAATTTTTTTAGGTGCCGAAAAAAAATCAAAAAGTGAAAAATTTCAAAACTTCACAGAACACCTGTGACCACCCGCTTTGAGCGAAATTTAAATTTGTTTAGATGCCGAAAAAAATCAAAAAATAAAAAAATGAAAAATTTCAAAACTTCACAGAATGGCTTAGAATACCCGTGGCCACCCATTTTGAGCGAAATTTAAATTTTTTTAGGTGTAAAAAAAAATAAAAAATCAAAAATTTCAAAACTTCACATAATAGCTTAGAATACTTTTGGCCACTCACTTTGAGTGAAATTTAAAATTTTTGAGGTGCCCAAATGGTATTTTTGCTTTCTTAATTTTTATTTCGTCACCTAAAAAAAATTAAATTTCACTCAAAGTGGTGTGGCCATAGGTATTCTAAGCCATTCTGCAAAGTTTTGAAATTTTTTATTTGTTTTTCGGCACCTAAAAAAATTTAAATTTCGCTCAAAGTGGGTGGCCACAGGTATTCTAAGTCATTCTATGAAGTTTTGAAATTTTTTATTTTTTTTTATTTTTTTGGGAATCTCAAAAAAATTAAATTTCTCTAGAAATGGGTGGCCACAAGTATTCTAAGCCATTCTGTGAAGTTTTGAAATTTTTATTATTTTTTATTTTTTTTTCGACACCTAAAAAAATTTAAATTTCGCTCAAAGCGAGTGGCCACAGATATTCTAAGCCATTCTGTGAAGTTTTGAAATTAAATTTTACGTTGGATTCGTAACGTTACGTACGCCCGCAAACAAATTCCAATCAAATTAATGCAAATGGCCAAGCACTGGAACGGGTCTTCAGCATTCAACCACCATCGCTCTCGATATTCGCTCTCGATATTTGTGAGTATGCATCGTTCCTTAGCCAACAATTTGCGAAACCATTTTGGGTCATTCGCTGGTGACATTAGCTTTACAAAAAGAGGGCTATTAATTTGATGGCACCCTTTTGGATGAGTTTAAGAAGTTGTCACCGGTGTGTTGTGGCGTCCATTCGGATAATGAGAGGTGGTAAAAGCTCCTCCGGTGAGCTCTATTATACTTATCTGAAGGGAGTAACCTTCTTGCTCGGATCTGAAATCCTCAATCTGAATCACTGTGGAGACATCGCTACACAGCAGCATCAGCTCTCAAAATCAACTTCATTTTAATTGGTCCTTCGTCTTTATCAGGCACTTACCATTAGGAGATTGCAGATTGTTACTACTTTGTTTCTACAAGAAAAGGTGGACATCTTGTTGTAATCATTTTGTTGAAGTGGATAGAATCACTATGATGGGATTGTAAGTAAACTGCAACAGAGCAGGCAGATGATGGTAGCAACAACCGTAAAAAAGTCCCAAACTTTTCGATAGAAAGTTTAAGTGAATTTTCGAGCAAGAACTCTAGTCTGATTCATTTCAAATTATCCGGGGACCATTCTGTAGATGGTTTGAGGAGGTAATTAAGCTAACCAGTTTATCATAAAAAAATGACCTGACTTCCTCTTTATGCAATCAAGGATATGAGACTGGACATTTGCTAGAAAGTTTATTTATGGCATCTGCGTACTACAGCAAAGCCATTGCTGCAAGAGCTGAAGGCTAGCATCAACATCTCAAACCTGGATTAAGCAATGAAATAGCAGGAGCATTACATCTTTCGATGGTGAAGATGCTTTTGAATAAAAACTCATAACAGGTTGAATCTTAAATGTTTTACTTATGCTGGTCTTAAGATACCGGTAATGGGCCTTATGAGATCATTACAGGGTTGCAGCACCCTCTTTGTAATTGTAATGATCTACTCAGATAAGTTAGTCATGATGCTGATGAGAAAAGGGACATTGTATAATGAGAACAAAGTAATTTGCTCCAGTACATGGGATCACACAACAGAGGGAGAGCGAGAGCAATTACAAAAAGATTACATCGTTATCAAATGGCTTACTTAAAACTTTACATAGGAGCTCTAATTATAGAGCATCGAGACAAAAGACACAACGAAAACCATAAATACTTAAAATTACCTAACAACTAACTCCAAACATTACTAACATATGTTTCGACAGCTCGTAAATATCATTTACAGACAGACTCGCAGTGACAGCTACATTACAATACATTCACATTTACCAGTCATAAGGCACAAATATTTGGCAGACTCACAGTTATTCACTCATGTAGTAAACTCACTTCCAACATGGTGGGAATTCATTGCTCCTCATGCTAGTGCCTTGGGGGCTGGCACCATCTGTCTGCACTGATCTACATCCCAACCCCCATCTCTCCAGTAGCCACAATATATTTCTGGAACATGCGCAACTTTCTGATAATCATCATCTTGTCCACCTTGCACGAGCTTCTTGATGAGCTCATCTGGCATATCGAAAATCTCCAGCACTTTCAGCTTTGTCAGGTGTTCAATACCTGATGGAAGTTTCTCTAGTAACTTGCAACGCTGAATGATAAACTTCTCAAGATAAGGCATTGCTCCCTTTTCCACTTCTACACACCTGAGTTCGTCGAAATGATCAAGACCCAGAGTCTTTAGCTTCTTAAAGGCTTTTTCTTTAAAGCACAATGAGCTTCCTTCGTAAACCTGAAGCAACTCGAGATGCACAAGGTTGGGCAGATTTTGGAGAGACACGAGAGGGTCATCCTTTAAGCGACTGCACCTCAGGTGCAATTTCAACAGGCTACTAAGAGAGGGTAGCCAGTGTGGTAGAGCCTCCAAGCGTCCTCTCAAGTAGATTCTTTGAAGGAATGGAGGTGGACTAGAGAGGTGTTGTAGATCAATAATCTCATCATCATTAACAGAAGCTACAGATATTGCTTGAAGCCTTGTTAGTTTGGAGATTGACAAGCACAAATCCCTTCCATTTTCTTTTCTAAATTTCAGAATGGCCAACCTATCCAGTTGCGTCAACATTCCAAGCTCTCTCATCACACTGCTGCTACTCTCCTCATCTGCCTCTATATAGCAGAGCTTTTGAAGGGAATGCAAAGCCCCAATTCCCTTAAGGGCCTTAAAGCCAAATTTGAAGGATGAATACGATATAGTCTTGTAGCGATAAACGAGGAGATGACGAAGTCGTCGCAGTTTCAAGATCTCAACAGGCAATTCGGTGACATTTGTGTGTTTAAGGTCCAGAGTCTCTAAGTTTTGAAGCTTCCCAATGGAACTTGGAATTGTACTCACCTCAGTGAACCTGAAACTTAGATATCTAAGATAACACCAATCAGCAACTTGAGCAGGGAACCTTGTTAAAGGAACTGCTTGCATATCCAAAACATTGAGCAGTTTCATATCACTAGATAAAAATGAATTCATTAATGATTTCTCTACCCCAAACATATATAAAGACCGAAGTTGAGACAAGGACCAGTTCCATTGCAGAGCTTGCAGGGTGTTCTGTATTGACAGGCGACGGACTTTGTCTGGCCATCCACAATTTTCTTCTTTGGCTGTTACTGCAAAACCCTGATCAGTTGACTTTGAAGTGATAATGTCCCGCAGCAAATGATGGATGCGGCAAGTCTTCACCCTTCCATCACTTCGTTTAGCAGCCACCTCTATCAGGCTTCTATTCAACAGCTCCCTGAAGTAGTCCTTAGCAAGGGTCTTTCCTTCTTTATTTTCAACAAATCCTTCTGCGATCCATAACCGCTGAACATGATCTGGAGAGGCCGAGCGGCCTCGCCCAGGTCTGGCGGTCGACCTGGCCGTCGCCCAGATCTGGGCGACGGCGAAGTCGACCGGCGGCCATGGCGAGGCCGAAGCTGACTCCCCCCGATCACGGCGAGGTCATGGCCGGCGGTCGAGTTCGCCGTCGCCCAGATCTGGGCGACGGCGAACTCGACCGCCGGCCATGGCGAGGCCGAAGCTGACTCCCCGATCACGGCGACTTCCAAATCCAGAAAAGAGAGAGAGATGAGAGGAGATCCAGCGCAGGATCGGAGCTTACGTGGAGCAGGAGCGAGCGAGCGAGCGAGCGGCCCTGGCTTCCTCTCGGCCGGAGCGAGCGAGCGAGCGGCCCTAGCTTCCTCTCGACGGCGACAGTGAGAGAGTACAGAGAGAGACGGGCTTCCAGATCAGAGAGATGAGAGTACAGAGAGAGACAGACATGTTTTTTTAAGAAATGATTCTGGCCTTTGTTCCTCAGAAATGGTTCCGAGTTTTGTTCAAGAAATGAAAAATCAACTTTTTTTTTTTTCTGATTTCTGACAGAACCAGTTCTGGAATAAAAACTTGTCTCAGAAATAGAAAAATAAAATTGCGTTAACAAACGAGTTTCTGATCCAAAACTGATTCTGGGAACAAAAAACCAGTTCTGGACTGAACCAGAATAGTTATTATGCGGTACCCTAATGATACGCCATCTTATATCAAGTGAATTGGTTTGATATACGAGTTAATCATAAACAAAAAAAAAGTGAAAAAAAAATCTTTAAAATGTCATGAAATAGTGAAGTAGTATACTAAATTGTCATTTGATGTAGCGAATAACCCAAACTTGGAATTAAAAATGATCCTAAAAATCAATGCACTATCAGTCGGAGATGAACAATTGCCTTTGGCACCATTGAAGTATGTAGAGATGAGACTCTTTAAGCTGGGTCATCAAGTTTATGCCTCGGTCGTCAACACTATTCTTTGTTCATAGAAAGATAACATTAGGAGTTTCAAAATTCATTTAATGCTCAAATTACCTATATATAAAATATGAGGAAATCTGGACTCATATAAACCAAAGTAAAGAGACGAGTTCAAGTCGGCAGCCCAGATAATAAACTTTAGGTAATTACATGTGTTTATGGTCTATAGGTTCGCATGAATTCAATTAAGTACAATTCAAAAATGGCCCTAAATGGTTTTATTCCAAAACTGTCTAGATTTTTATTGATTTGAAAGTTGAGCCCATCGAAGATCCGAGCGGACCGATTTCTTTAAATTTATCAAAGCCTCTCGATGAACAAATCACTTAAATTTCTTTAAGTTCGGAGTTAGCGTTGTTTTGCCACTTGCGTAATCGAAGAATTTCTTGGAATCCTACGGATGTCCTTCCGACCGACTAAGCATTCCCTAGAGATATTCCTTTTTGAAGTTTCAAACGAATCATTTTATCTATAATTAGCATTACCCAATCTCTAAAATCTTTATTTAAATCGAACTGCTGGATAAAAAAAAATCGTCTGTCATACAGCTTTTTGTACGGAGTGGTCAAGGTACTGCTATGAGCCAAGCTGTAGAAGGTATCTCACTATAACCCGAGGCGAAGGGAAAAGGCATAATGTGTATTCATGTACTTCATATTTATTTTGATTTTCGACATAAATGTGTTTGCGTTGTATGCTTTGTTGATTTTTGATGACTTAGTTTAAATGTTTCAAATTGAATTATGTCCGCATGTCCATCAAGAACGGTTAACTCGCTGTTTTTTTTTTATTGAAAGAAAAATTCCATTCATCATAATAATATCCGAGAGGTATATAGAAGGCATACAAGCCTGGCAAATCCCAAATAATTTCGGAACAAAGCAAATACTAGAATGCAAATAACAAAGTACAAAGCACAGTCTGCAACTAAAAACACACTTTTATTCCTCAAGAATAAATCTGCCACCGTAAACATTCGGCAACCGATCACCATATTCGATGATGAGAACACGCTGAGATCCTCCACTTCATTTCCAACGGATTGCGGTGCTTGTCCAGGTTCAATGTCCTCGTTACCATCGCCATGTAGAGACACCAACATTAATACGTTGAAAGAACACGGATCAAATCTTTATAAAAAAAACCCCAGATCTAAACCTAAATCTAAATCGGAAGAGTAAAACTTTCAGATCTAGACCTACATCTAAATCTGGAGAGAAGAACAATCGAATCTTGAAAAGGTTGTGGTGGCATGTCACGAACATCTTTCTCGATGGCTATCGACTAGAGCCGAACTGGACTCCAAGTTCATCCAAGATCATTCACACAAACAATCTCCCAAAACAAATCGGGACAGAAAAAAGACATACAGTCAAAGGAAAGAAAAAGAAAATCAAAGCCAAAGTAGGCTCACGAAAGCTTCAAAAAAGGGAAGAGCTTTTGGGAGATGAAGGGGTTTGTCTTTGGCGATGAAGGTAGGGGTGTCAACAAAACCCGCGCCGACCCCACCCAATCTATGCAGGCCCAGCGTGGGCCTAAAATTTAGGTTATTTTGGGGTTGGGCCTTATCTTCTTTGGATAGGGCTTTTTAGGTGTGGGTATTATTGGGTTAGGTAGGGTCGGGTCCGATCCATTGACATCGCGAGATTACCCACAGGCCACAATCCACACGTCTCCCTCTCTCTCTCTCTCTCTCTCTCTCTCTCTCTCTCTCTCTCTCTCGTCTCTTCCCTTCTCTCTCCTCTCTCTCTCTTTCTACGTAGTCGCAGAGCTTGACGAAACCCTACCTTCCGTGCAACGCTCACTCCCTCCCTCCCTCCCCGGACTCACTTGCAACTCGGCCGTCAGTCCATCACCGCCGGCCATCGCCCACAGTGCTGCCGGTAATATCTCTCTCTCTAAGCTCGGTCTCGCTTGCGTATACCCGAACTTTGTTGTGTTTTTAGTTGAATCACTGTCTCTTCTATCTCTCGCACAAATCCAGTTTGATCTCCCATAGAACACATATTCAATTCGAGCTCCTTCTCCTCTTCACTTCCGGTCTCTCTTTCTGGGTTCGTTCGGCTCATGATTGGGAGTTTTTCTGACGGTCCTCCTTTGCTTCTCTTCTTTTGGCTTTTGAATGATTTCCAGACGCAGTGCTTCCCCCCATCCAATCGGTGCTTCTTTCGGCTCATGTAAGCATGTAATTGCTCTTTTTGCTTCTAAAGCCGGTTAATTTGCTTTACGTTGCAATCCCTTTGCTTTTCTTTCTTCTTTTTCTCTGTGTTTTTTTACTTCTGTTTGGTGGGTGAAAACTGAAGTTGCTATTGTACCACCCGCCTGGGTGGCGCTGCTGGAGCGCGCACTCTTCCTCTTGCAAAAGGTTGAGTGTTCAAATCCCGGGTGCCGCAGGGTGACTTAACCGGTGCACGTGTGTGGTGGCTAGCACGTGTCGCCCCCAGGGTTTACCTCCCGGCTGTCGGCTGTGCGGTGTTCCCTGGGTCATCAAAAAAAAAAAAAAACTGAAGTTGCTATTGTTGGGTGTGAACAGTTCCCGAACCGAGGTGTGAATTGAGCATCTCCATTTTTTTAGCGGGTGGTTTCTTTCTATCGTTCGGAGCTCAAGGATTGAGCCGAAGAAAGCCTTGTACGGATAGAACAAGAACGACGACGCTAATTTGGAGGGATCCAGATCGGTCGGTCGTTGAACAGAGCCGATCGATTCGAGCACAAGGGAAGTCCAGAAGAGAAACGTTCGTCTTTAACTCTTTGGGGTTGGATAAACGAGATCTTGCATGGTATGTGTTGATACCGGTATGACCGTACAGGTATAGATATTCGCAGCATGGCATGATCCTGTCATATTCTTCATTCGTGTAACTTAGTCTTTGTTTTTGAATTTTTCGTGCTTTCTTGTTCCCCCTCCAGTCAGTTGATTTTCTCTAGTATTCTTATAGTTTGTCAGTGAAAATTGCTTAATCTACCAAGCGATGTACAATTTCTCACTTTTGTTCTTTGTAAGAAAAGGAAAAACTTGGAAAGTTTTTTTGAAGAGAGCGACGATCCTTTTCACTGAATCCGTCGAGACAGTAGATCTAACTTGTGAAGCTGATCTGTCTCTGTGATCTGCAATGGAGCATGACCATCGAACAGTTTCGGGGATGAAGTTTCAGCGTTTCTTGGGGAATTTACAATTCTAATGAATTATGGTTTTTGTCATGCACCCATTTTTCATGAGGGAAAGTATAGTCTTGTAAGAATCTTTTATATTCACAAGACTATAATAAACCCACGAAACAGTAGATGAAACTCAATTTTTCAGACCAATTTTTGGACAATTTTTCTTTTCTAAATTTCTGATAGCCAGAGGTGCAAGAAGATTTCGCTGATGTTTTTTTTTGGGGATTTAAATGGAGATCGCTACAAAATGTGCATTTCGTCGCAGTACAGTGAAATTCTTTTGGCTTTTTGAGGGACACGGCCACTGGACCCAAGCATCTCACATCGCCTATTGTGTCATGGAATTTCCTGGCATTCACTTGTATTTAGAAGGTTGAGTATGAGAGTTTGGGTAGCTATCTCATTATCATCTTCGCCATATAATTATCTCTAGATAGAGAAGAGCTCTGTCTAGCGTACATGAATAGCCAATGTATGCTTACACATCGGAATCTAGCTTCAACATGTGCTTGTCTATGATTGTAAAGTCTTATAGAGACTGCATCTTTTGATACTTGCTCCTGAGGTGGTGAAACTAATAGCGTTTTGTGCACGTGTCCTTGCAGGTATATGGATGGGGAAGAGGTGAACATGGGAGTCTTGGTTAGGTGTTGGGATCAAAAGCATTTAGAAAATTTTGTATCAAGTTTAGTTGGCTTGAGTTGGAAAAGCATGTACGGTATTTTGTTTGTTGAAACTTTTGGTATCCATTATTTTTTGAAGATTTTGTTTGTCAAGGTTTTTCTACTAGAGTAGTTTAGCATTAGACATCGAAGCGGTGGATGGGTTCTAGGCTTCTAGTTGTGCACTTTGATCCCGCGTTATGTTTTGCTATTTACCCGCATTTCTTGTTACTAAGCGTTTTATTTTAACACTATGGACTCTATCAGGCTCCGGTGCTTGCTCATCCTCATTATACTATTTTTGGTGTTTGTAACTTGTTTTCTTAGCCCATTGCACTGCGTTATGTTTTGCTATTTACCTGTATTTCTGTCATTTTCTTCCCGAATTCGCTTGATTTGTGGTCTTTTCTATTAATCAGAAATTTTCTGCCCCTACAAAAAAGTTTTAGTGAAAGGAAGGTATTAAACCTGCAAGGAGAAACATAAGCTTTACAAGAAGTATGATGTCGAGGTCCTGTTGCTCGAGGTTGCAATCTATTTGCAAAAAAAAAGAAAAAACCCTCCGACCTGACCCGGCCTGGCCTGACCTGTCACGACCCGCGGTCGTTGGGGATTATTGTTGCGACGTTCCAGGCTCGTCGCCGTCCCGTTTCTTTTATCTTGTTAACATGCACATGCAGAAAAACGTGTACAGACAAACTTCCAGACAACACAACAAACAAGCAATTAGGAAAACACCATACAGAACACACTACTTTCATATTACCTCAGTACATTTTCAAGCCCCTTCTTTTTTTACGGGCACTTCTTATTTACATTATCCTCCTATTCAAATACGTAGGCTGAGGGATTCCTATCTCCTCTAGCAAGGTTGCAGCTCCAAAATCGGTACACCATGACGAAGAGGAGGTGAGACGTCTATACCTACAAGTTTGAAAAACAACGGAGTGAGTCAAAGACTCAGTAAATAAAATCACTAATCCTAAGTTTGGAGGACGTCTCGTCGTCGAACCCATCATACAAACATCACTAGCACCAAAGCATTGATGGCAGATCAATAGCAACACCATAGCTGTGCCTCGACTATATGATGTGATCAATTCCAGCTTATCGTCAAGGCACGATTTATTTATCATCAAGGCACGATTTACCTTTGGCATATCAATAAACTTAACAACAACACACATCAACATGTATCAAAGGTTCATTAACCGTCTCACACGGTTCTTCCCATACTTTCAGGGGCTTCCAACCTCAGGTTGGGCATCCGAAATCCACCAAGCATCCCATACTTTCAGGGGCTTCCAGCTTCAAGCTGGACATTCGGAATCCACCGAGCATCCCATACTCTCAGGGGCTTCCAGCTTCAAGCTGGGCATCCGAAATCCACTAGGCAATGTCACCAAAATCCATTTGCGACGGTTATTTCTTTTATGTGACCACACAACAAGCATTTACGCGAGCCGGATTCTTATCTTTATTTCTTAGCCAATGCAAACAAAGCCCAAAGGCGTGCTCATACGAGTGTGTGTATGTCATGAACCTCACTAGATGGTATGCTGGGAACAATCCTTGATTCGTGGCTTGAACTGAATGGCTAATACCGATCCTCGCACCGAGCAAGACTTGGAACCGACATGCCTCAATGCAGACCAAGGTCTTGTAGCTTAGTTATCTTGCCTTAACGTTGATTCCAAACCGAGCAAACCTCGACCTTGTCTCGAGGCGTGAACACACTCAAACATGCCACATGAGCAAACCATAGAAAAGAATATCGTACGCATGACAAAGTACGGGTGAGCACACGTCCAAATTCAACAACACAGCATATCGCCCTAGTTAAGGGTTAGTAATTTCACTTACCTAAGAATGAACTTAGAGAGCTTGACCGAGAGAGAGAGAGGTTTGGGTGTAAGGAAGGGAAGATGAGAATGTGAGCCTAAAGTGTGGAATTGAAAGAGGGGGTCCTTCTATTTATAGCTTCCATCTTAATCATTGCTTGTCCAAGTGGTCCAATTGGTTTTCTTGAAGTGGCAAGCCTACTAGAATGAGTCGGCTAGTCTATTGGATGAGTGGCAAGTCTACCAAGGAGAGGTGGCATGCCTAAAGGAGTAGTATGGCATGTCTAAGTTCTTAGGGAAATGATGAAGCCAATGTGTGTCATTCCAATTGGTACACTTGGTCAAAAGTCACTAGCTTCGTCTCCAAGCCAAATCTTAGGCCATCATGACCAAATCTTCCTAAGGCCATCTAAGCCATGAATCACTTGCTTCTTCTCCAAGTCAAATCTTTTTGCCATCATTACCATATCTTACCTTGTCACCTAAGTGGACAACTCACACCTTCATTAAATGCTCAAGATATGGTCATGATAGGGTTTGGATTTTGTCACATGTTTTTTGCCTAGCTTGCTTTCCAAGCCAAATCTTTGGCTATCATTACCAAATCTTCATAAGACCACCTAAGATGATGATTCATCTCTTGTATTAAATGGCCAATGTTTTAGAGTCTTCTATTATGTCCATTTTCAAGAATATAACAAACATGGGAATTATGCCAATGGAAGTGCTAACTTGGTTGGGCATGAGTTTCTCATGTCCATCCACGATCGATTGTGCCAATCAAATCGAGGTTCATAACTGAGTCACCATAGGATGTGGCGGATCATGGCCAAAGCCCAGTGCGTGGGCTCCGTGGCTGGCACTGATCGAGCGTAGGGCCAGGCTGACAGAGCGCATGGCTCGTGCCTGTCCTGGCTCGCGGCCTGACAGCAGGGTCCACGGCCTAGCCGGGCACATGGACGGTACCTGTGCTGGCTCATGGCCTTACGGCAGAGTCCAAGGCCTAGTACAAAGCCTTGCTCACGACTTGGCACATGGCCTATTCGGCAGGGTTGCCGAGCCAATCCGTGACCAATCCATGATCTGTCCATGACCCATCCCAAGTGGCCCATGGCCAGTTCATGACCGATCCATGACCAAGCAAACTTGGTCCATAGTCGACTCTCGATTGTCATGTAGTTGTGTGAGATCGATCGTTACATGACCGACACACGGTCGCACGGATCGATCCATGGTTGTCCGCAGTAGGTACATGACCGTGCGGAATCACCTGCAACCGGAATAGGACCGCGCGGGATCGATTTATGATCGTCCATCGATCGGCGGTGGTATGTGACCATCCCTCGACCAACCTTTATGGTCGAGTAGCCGATCCATGTCCGAATAGCTTGGGTCATTTGCGTGGTCATTGGATTGATTCACTGCCGATCCCTCGATCATTCCAAGGCCAATCCTTCGATTAGGTTATGACTGATCTCTTAGTCACCCTTTTGATTGGGTTGATCGATCCATGACTGTTCTTTGGATTAGTCCATGACCAATTTCCCCCACTATCGGCATGCCAATTCCATAACCATTTCCCATGGCCAGAATCGTGGATGTTACACGACCCTTGGGGTGTATGCTGAACAAGGTCACGGGGTGGGTCTAGGCAGGTCAAGCATGACCCTGTAGATTTTGGGTTGAGTAGGGTATCACCAAAACCCAACCCTACCCAGCCCATTGACATCCCTTCGGTTTGGAATTGATTGAGAGAGAGAGTTGGAGAGAAATTGCCAACTTCAAAATGTTTAACTCACTGTTTAAAATGCAATTTCTAAGTGCTTTAGATAATTTTTAAAAAGATGTAAAGTGGTTTTTAGTGAACTAGTTTATCAAAGCAAAACAAACAAAGAAAAGAAGAGATGGAAATGAAAATGCAGCTGGATGTGAGTCCTACGAACACGAGCCCATTTCAGAGATAAGGAATGCGGAGGTTGAAATTACAAGTATGCCCGCACAAGAAGCCCATAAACATTGGCTAACTATGTGGGGCCTATAAGCGTACGAATCTCACATGAGGAGTTGAAGTACAAAAATACCCCTAGGGTGTAGGAAACGGGACGGAGAGTAGAAACCGGAGAATGACCGGCGGCTTTTGCGGGCATAGGGGATATAATTAAATCCATGCAAGAGTACGAGACATTGGACTTGGACCGAGTTTGGGCTGCCCATGATAGGTCGACGGTCTAACCCGTGAGATTAAAATTTTCCATGGAAGGATCAGTGTTTGGCTAAAACTTAAAAAAGACTTCGAAAGTATTTTCAGGTGCTAGGTGAAGAAAATCTGATGATGAAAATTATCAAAAAAATTATATTTTTTAAATTATTTGTTTTTCTAAAATTATTTTAAAATTATTTTTATTAAGAAGAGAAAATACATGAATGTTTTCCTTCTTAGAAATAAAAGAAAAGAAAAAGAAAGAAAGAAAAGAAAAGAAAAGAAAAAAATAAACAAATTCAAGATTTGTAATTCCAAAAAGTGTCTTCACCTTCTTAGATTAGAGAATTCACTCTCCCGATTTTATACATGAATGTTTTCCTTGAACGGAAAGTGTTTTCGTTTGACTAATCATTTTCGACGAACCAAACGGATGAAAGTCTGGAAAACGGGTTCTTGGAAAACATTTTCCTTCAAACAAATGCACTCTTAGATTTAGTTTGTTTTGCAAAAAATGAATGAAAAGACACTGAATTGACTTAATTAGACTGAATTATCTTCACAGAGAAAGGGATAACGTGTTCATGGAATCAAGTAGCACAATCGTGATGATACTGAGCACTTTTCAATCGCATTATTGTACTCATGAATGGTGGATCTAAAACTCTTGATGGTATGCTTGTGCTTAGAAATTTCTCTCTCAAATATTGTGAACAACGAACTTATTAGTTCAATTTTTTGCATGAAGGTGCTTTTATGTCACTTCAGTTTAGGAGGAAAACATACATATATATATCTAGGTTCGTACATATCAAGTTTCTGTGGCTCAATTTCTTGTTGAACCTGTGGTCTCGGAGTTTTGATCGGAACCCAAGATTTGTGTGATATATGAGAGAGAAGATTGTTTGAATTCGAGCATTGTTAGGCTGAGAACGGATGTACCGAAAATGCTTCTGATCAAAGTTGGTCCGGCAACGTGGCAACACTTAGGCCAGGCTGCCAGCTAGGGGAATGTGTTATTTCCGAGTACCTAGTTGAAATGTGTTTTAATGCGATTTTCTAAGAACATGAATACAAGCTGTAGCATCTCTTAGGATTTTCTAGTAGAATTTGGTGAGAGAAACACAATTGCTTACGAGAATTTGTGTCTCGTGGCTAGCCTTTCCCGTGGAATAGGTACCAACACTCTGATCAAATTATGAAATTTTTAAATTTTTTTTTAAAAATCTTTTCTTACCGTTTTCTCTAATACTTCGATCTTTTGTTAGGTATTGTTGACACTTAT